CCTGTAAGTTCTCTTTTAAGAAATCAGCTGATAGTCTTATGGGAACTCCTTCGTAGGTAACTGTCTCCTTTTCTCTTGCTGCTTCTAAGATTCTGTCCTTATCTTTAATCTTGGGCAATGTAATTATGATGTGCCTTGATGTGTTCCTCCTTGGGTCCAACTTCTTTGGGACTCTCTGAGCTTCCCGGACTTCCTGGAAGTATATATCCTTTGCTAGACTGGAGAAGTTCTCCTTCATTATTTGTTCAAATAAGTTTTCAATTTGTTGCTCTTCCTCTTCTCCTTCTGGTACCCCTATAATTTGGATGTTGGAACATTTAAAGATGTCCTGGAGGTTCCTAAGCCTCTCATTTTTTTGAATTCTTGTTTCTTCATTCTTTTCTGGTTGGATCTTTCTTTCTTCCTTCTGGTCCACTCCACTGATTTGAGTCTCATTTCCTTCCCATCACTATTGGTTCCCTGTACATTTTCCTTTATTTCACTTAGCATAGTCTTCATTTTTTCATCTAATTTGTGGCCAAATTCAACCAATTCTGTGAGCATCCTGATTACCAGTGTTTTGAACTGTGCATCTGATAGGTTGGCTATCTCTTGGTCACTTAGTTGTGTTTACTGTGGAGCTTTGATTTGTTCTCTCATTTGGGCCATTTTTTTTTTTTTTGTCTTGACACACCTGTTACATATGAGGAGCAGAGCCTTAGGTGTTCACCAGGGAAGGGTAACCCACTTTGCTAGGTTGTGATGCTATATGTGGGGAAGGGGTCTGAGAGGGAACAATGGCACTTACTCAGCTGTCTGCTGGATTTCAGTCACTTCCCCCACTACCCATAAGCAAAGTGGGCCCTTCTGGTGCTGATTCCCAGGCGGGTGGATTTGTGTACATCCTAGGACCCTGTGGGTCTCTCCAATGAACTCTCCTGTGAAGCTGGGAGTTTCTCCTGCTGCTGCCTCAACCGCTACTGGTGTTTCCAATCAGAGGTTTGAGGCTTTCTTTCCCTGCACTGGAGCCCTGGATTGCACAGTCTGTTTCACTCTGCAGTTGTTTCTCCCAGTTTATCTGAGCACAAATATGGGACCTCCCACTCCACCAGCCACTGCCTTGCCAGGTCCACCAGCTGCTGCCTTGCTGGCCAGTTAGAGCCTTCCCTGCCACACTCCACAGTCCACTGCCTCACTGGGTCCGCCAGCCACCGCCTTGCCCACCCTGGTCCTCCAGGCACCGCCTTGGTCTCTGCTGCTCCTACCTGTCTGGATGAATGTGTTTTCTCTATCTCCTCTGTCATCGGACTTCCATACAGTTCAATTTTCTGTCAATTCTGTTTTTTTTTTTTAATTGTTGTCCTTCTTTTGGTTGTGAGAGGAGGTACAATATGTCTACCTATGCCTCCATCTTGGCCAGAAGTCAATAAGAATAGAACATTTTGATCATCCCAAACAATTTCTTTGTACCAATTTGTGGCTAATGTCCACTCCCACCTCATTGCTAGGCAACCACTTATCTGCTTTCTGTCTCTACAAACTGGACTTTATATTATACGAGATATACGACACACACCATATATGATATATGAGATATATAACATACGATATAGGTGATACATGATACATCACATACAACATGCCACACATGACATATCATGATATAGATACACGCCACATGATACATAACATACAGACAGATGTAGGACATATAATATATGACACACCACCTACATGGTACACCATATATGCGACACACATCATGTGACATGCATCACAATACATAGACCTATAGGATATGTAGATACACATGATAGATATGACAGAAATCATGCAACATACACCAGGATAGATATACGACACATATATGTGACATCACATGTTATGCACACCATGTGAGATATAGATGACATATATCACATATAAGTGTGATATACATGAGATATACATGAGATATAGATGAGATATGTATATCTCATATATGACATATATATATATATATCAATGGAATTATATAATATGTGACCTTTTATATCTGGCTTCTTCCACTTAGCATAATGATCTCTGAGGGTTATCCATGTGGAAAATATGTATCAGTATTTTGTTCCTGATAACTGCAGAATAGTATTCTGATATATGGTTGTACCACATTTTTTTTATCCATTTACCAGCTGATAGCTGTTTGTGCATTCCAGTTTAGGTTATTATGAAAAATAACATTATGAACATTTGAATATACATCTCCGTTGACCTGTGTCTTCATTTCTTTGGGGTACATAATTTGAAGTATAATTACTGGGTCATATGGTAAATTTATGTTTAATTTTTAAGAAATTACCAAACTGAGAAAAGGATACACAAGGACATAGGGAACAAGACCATATGGAGACACAGGCAGAGACTGAAGTAATGCAGCCATAAGCCAAGGAATGCCAAAGACTGCCTACAACCACCAGAAGCTGGAAGAAAGGTGGGGGCAGATTTTCCCTCAGAGCCATCAGTGGGAGCCAACCCTGTCGACACCCTGATTTCAGACTTCTTGCCTCCTAAATTGTTAGAGAATAAAGTTCTGTTATTTTAAACTAAAAAAAGAAACTCACCAAACTGTTTTTGAACATGGCAGTGCCATTTTACATGCCCACCAGCAATGAATGAAGGGGTCTGTTTTTTCACATCTTCACCAATACTTGGGATTAAGAAACAACTTCTAATAGGAGACTATACTTAAGCATTGAGTAACACATAATCAGTAGGAATTTAACTGGAGAATGGATTTGGGTAGGAAGGAGAGAGGACAGGAGAGTAGAAATTAGAGGAAGAAGGAACTACATACACATAAACATGGAGATATTCAATAGTAAGACATTTCAAGAGAATATTTGGAACTTATGACTAAGTTACTAGAAATAAGCCTAGATATGTAGGTGTAAGACAGACTATTGAGTGTCTAACTTGACATATTAACACTTCTAAAAGCAACTGAGCATGAGAGCCATGTTGTAACAATAGGTATAATATGAAAAATTTAGGGTTGGTATGAGTGTGTCAAACTGAAGGCAGAGGGGACAGTTAGGAGGCTGTTGAAGTATTCCATGGGAGAGACGATGGGAACCTGCCTAGCCAGTGGCAATAAGACAGATTTTGCAAGAGAGGCATATAGTTTTCTATTGCTGCTATAACAAATGGCCACAAGTCCAGTGGCTTAAAATGACACAAAGTTATCTTACAACTTTGGAAGTAAGAAGTCTAATGTATTAGCAGGGCTGCTTTTCTTCTGGAGGCTCTAGAGAAGAATCTATGTCTTTGCATTTTCTGAATTCTAGAGATCTCTTGCATTCATTAGCTTGTGATGTCTTCCTCCATCCTCAAATTCAACAGTATAACATTTTAAAATCTCTCTCTAGCCCTCTTGACTTCCTGTTATAAGGATCCTTGTAATTACACTGAGGTCACCCAGGTAGCTCAGGAATATCTCCCTGTCTGAAGATACTTAATCACATCTGCAAAGTGCCTTTTGCCATCCAAGGTAACATATTCAAATATTCTAGAGATTAGTATGTGGACATCTTTGGGAGGGTATTATTCAACCTGTGACAAAAGATATATGTGATACAGAATTTGCCAACAATTGATTCATAAGTCTTGAGCTGATTTTCATTGAGCATGTCCATCTCATGATACTGACTCACATAATGATGAGGCTGCACGAGACATGTGTGCTTTGAGGGCAAGTGACAGGAAAGAGAACCTAGTCCATTTGAACCTAGGTGAGCAGAGACTCAGCTGTATACAGGCACCACTCAACACAGAGGCTGAAACACTAGGAGGATTTCCTTTCAGATGATCAGCTTTATATTCTCAGACTGGTTACCTCTACATAAAAAGAGACATGGAAAACAGTAGCTCTCATTACTCACATTAGGTAGCTTCACTACTTAACAGAAACTAGATTTATTTAAGCTCCTATATGTTAAAAAAAACTTAGAAAAAGAATGTAATTGGTATAGGTATATCTTCTTCCCCTGCTGGCCAATCAACTATGGCCAGGAGACAATGTGACTGGTGGCCCCTTCAGAACCACATTTGTTTATTCAATTTATCGAGCCTATTTTTACTATTTACTATGTGTCAGTCATTATTTTAGGCTCAACTACCACAGGATTCAGAGGATCAGGGATATGGGTAAAAGCAGGTTGTCATATTTAAAATGGTGGTCTTCATAAACCTCATTGAGAACCTCATTTGTGAAGATGGTGAATGATTTAGGTGAGTGTATATCTGGGGAAACAGTGCCACAGGCAGAGGGTGAGATTAATACAAATACTCTAAGGTGGGAGGTTGTCTGAGGGCAATGTGGCTGGAGCAGAGCCAGTGAAGTGGGGCATATTAGCTAAGAGGGGTATCGGGTCAACGTGTGAGGTTTTCTCTGCCACTGAAGGACTTTTGCTTTCATTGACTGAGTAGATTGAGGAGTCATTGAAGGGGTTTGAGCAGACACATGACATGATCTGACTTAGGACTTCAAAAAATCACTGTGGCTGCTGGGTATGGCATGGATTGTAAGGTGTGAGGCAGCCTGCTTGGAGCTGACTTATGCCATCCCAGTGTGATATATATAGCTAGGGCCAGGGTGGGGATAGCAGTGTAAGGGTTGAGAAGTCATCATTAGGGCTATATCTTGAAGGTAGAGGCAAGAGGATTTGTTGTCAGTCAGGATTGGGTGTCAGAGAAAGAGAGAAGCCAAGAATGTCTCCAGGATTTGGGGCCTGTGCAACTGGAAGGACAGAATTGCCTCCACTTCTGAGACAGGGAGTGCTGAGAATGGAGAAAATTGGGAAGGAAAGAGAACTTTAGAATGTTCTCTTTGAAATGTCCAAATTGAGATATTCCAAATTGAGAAATATTATAAGGTTCTGCTTATATTAGATAACTAGAATAGTCAAATTCATTACACAGAAAGGTTAATCTAGATTATCAGTGAATGTGTGGAGAGGAAAATGGGGAGTCAGTGTTTAATGGATACAGATTTTTATTTGGGGAAGATTAAAAATATCTGGAGATCAATGGTGGTGATAATTATAAAACACTATATAATTGTAAAACACTATAAAGCGACAGAACTATGCACTTAAAAACAGTTAAAATGCCCTGGCTGGAGTGGCTCAGTGGATTGAGCACCAGACTGCGACGCAGGGGGTCAGGAGTTCAAACTCAGTTAGGGCACATGCCTGGGTTGTGGGCCAGGTCCCCAGGGGTGGCACGTGGAAGGCAACCACACATTGATGTTTTTCTCCCTCTCTTTCTCCCTCCTTTCCCCTCTTTCCAAAAATAAATAAATAAATTTATTTGGTAAATTTTAGGTTATGTATATTTTACCACAATAAAAAATATGGAGATGTTTGACATCCCAGTGGAATCTGCAGTTTGTGATACAGTCTGTACTGGAGGCAAAAACTGGAGGGTCATAGACATATAAATACAGAAGGAACAAGTGTGAATATGAAGGAGAACTATAGACAGACCCCTGGGGTGCTCTGGGAGAGGAGTCACCCATAAAGAGCCTGGGCAGGAGAGACCAGTGATGTGGCAGGAAACTAGGAGAGCTGGTGTTCCAAAATCTAAGTAGAGAAAGTTTATCAATGAAGATACTAGCAATTTTCAAGAAGAAAATTTCAAGAAGAAAGGTGTGACCCCTTCTGAGGTACACGTCCTTCCAGAAAGAGCCAGAGCTGTGCACTGAGAATATCGAGACCACCTGGCCAGAGGAACCCTAGATTTTGTTGAACTCCAAGAGCCTCCACTTCTTATTTACACATGAACTTTCCAATCCGCTGCCCACAGCCAATCCTCAGGAGTGACACTTCTTGTTGATTCTGCACCTATCCCACAGCTGACCCAGCACTGAAGTAGATTTATCCATATTAGCATTTTGAACGTTGGATCTCTCTCTCTAGATAAAGAAATACATTTCTGGGGAAGAACTATTTGAGGATAAGTTGTGTGGACCCTGAGAAAAGAGATACCTACGAAGAAGGGCCTCTGGTGCCTTAACTGGCCTTAAATTAAAAAAAAAAAAAGAGCCTAGCAGCTGTTTCTAAACGGCCTCAGACACAAACTGCACTCCATGGAGAAGCCTGCACTGAACTGCCTTCCTGCACTGTGTTTCTGCCATCTGAGCCAGCCCATATAGAGGAGTTCCTGGAATCCTGTTTCAACCAATGGGACTGAGGCTTCCCTGTCCAACTGGATCTGTGTAGCCAAAACCCTATCAACATCTTCACCAACCAATCAGGAGGATGCTTTTTGGATCAATTAAACTGCTAGGATTTGGAGTCATCATCTGCATGAAGATGAACCAATCACAGACCAGGAGCAGGGACTTCTGTCTATTTAAGTCAGCTCCCCTCTGCTTCTGAGAGTGCACTTTCCCATTCCATGGAAGACAAGGCTACATTTCCCTGGCTGAAGCTAAAACAGAAAATGTCTCACTGGAGCAGAGCAGAGCAGAGCAGAGCAGCATGGAGCCAGAGAAGGGGAATTAGACCAGAGCAGAACAGAGCTGCCTAGCCAAAGAGGAACCTTACCCCAAGGCCTCTTCACAGCCACAGTTATGCTGCTTTGTAATTGAACTATATCACTATTAAGCTGTTTCACAGTTGTGCTGTATCACAATTCAGCTGTTTTGCACTGAATAAAGTCTCTTTCTTCATTGTAGCCCAAATTAGGGATTCATACCAGTGTAACTGGTGCCAATGACCATTGGTTAATCAGGAGATAGTTTGTGATGACACAGATTTAACAAACAGAGTAAGATTTATCCATCAGATAAATCTATTATACCAGACAGTTACAGAATACATGTTGTTTTCAACCATACTTGTAGGATCCATAAAACCTGGTTACATATGAGACCTATCAATTGAGACTAAAATCCCTTGGAACAGAACCTTTCTATAAGACAGGTTTAGACCAGTTTGGAGTTTATTTTTCATGTTACATGAAACCCAGAAATAAGCAACCCAGGGTTGGTACAGCCAAATAATACTGTATGTCCCTGCTGTGTAATTGGTAGCCTATGAGTCATCTTTTTGGTTTCTTTTCTGAGGAAGAAGAAGAGATAAGATAAAGGAAAAATGGTAAAGAGAAAATGCCAGATGAGATGCTCCCCTTTCTTTAAAAGCCACATGCAGTGACCTCTCACTGTTTCTTATTGGACAGGACTGTGGGCTCATTGGCACTCATAGCTGCAATGAAAGCTAGGAGATAAGTCCTTAAAAAACTCTCCACACTGTCAACTTGAACACAGTTGTAATTGTTACTTTAAGAAAGGAAGGGCAATGACTTAAAGTGACTTACTGTAAGTCACTGCAGTCACAAATGGCAATGGATTTTGGGACAGTACCTTGTTGTATCTGACACATTAGGCCACAAAGCAAATCTCCAATAATTTTCTGTCTGAATTTATGCCATTTAGAATCTATATCATGAAGGACATATATTCAGTGCACAATGCAATTAAATTACAAATGTGTAACTAAAATAGGCAGAGTCTGCACATTAAAAAACACATTTCTAAATAATCTATATGTCCAAGACACTTTGATGAAAAGTAGACAATATTTAGTACTAAGTTACAATGAAAACTTTATCAAAACTTTTATGATATAAATCAAGGGAAATTTAGAGTGCCACACTACATTTAATACTCATCAATTGATGAGTTGTCAAACTTTAAGGATGAAACACTCACCAATAAAGATAATCACAGAGCTCTAACACTTACAAGATTGGCCAGTATAATATGTCTTTCAACATTGGTCACCAAAGGTTTCTCTACAGCGTGAGTTCTAAACTGCGGAGTGAGGTGTGAAGGACCTCTTAAGGCTAGCCTGTAGACATTTCATTCATATAGCTTTGGCCCTGTATGTATTCGGTTGTGCATTATAAGGTTAGTGCTGGTGCTGAATGCTTTTCCACAATGAACACATTTATAGGGCTTTTCCCCTGTGTGAGTCCTCACATGGACCCTCAGGCAAGAGGAATTCCTAAAGGCCTTCCCACAGTCTTTACATTCATAGGTTTTCTCTCCAGTGTGCGTCCTCTTGTGCACAATAAGGTAAGAGCCTGTGCTGAAGGATTTTCCACACTGATTACACTCATAAGGCTTCTCTCCAGTGTGAGAGCGTTGATGTTTCTTAAGGGATGACTGATCAATAAAGGCCTTTCCACAGTCACTGCACTCATAGGGCTTCTCTCCAGTGTGGGTTCTCACGTGTTTTTGCAGGGATGAGGGCACAGTGAAAGCCTTGCCACATTCCTTACAGTCATAGGGTTTTTCTCCAGTGTGTGTTCTTCTGTGCACATTAAGATGAGAGCTCTGGCTGAAGAATTTTCCACAATGATCACACTCATAAGGTTTCTCTCCAGTGTGTGATCTCACGTGTTTCTTGAGGGAAGAATGAAAAATGAAGATTTTCCCACAGTCACTACATTGAAAAGGTTTCTCTCCAGTGGGAGGTCTCACACATGGTCCCTGAAGGGACCAGGGGCCCGTGAAAACCTTCTCCTGTTCGTTATGTTTTGAGCTTTCTTCCACAGTACACAATTTCTCATGCACACTGTGGGAAGATCTTTTTCCACAGTCACTGCAGTCATAGAGTCTCTCTCCAGTAGGTTTTTGCACACGCACCAAAAAGGAATGCTGTAAACTGAGAAACGCAAGACACTGATTATACTCATAAGGTCTCTCTCCAGTGGGAGTTCTGAAGTGCTCCCTAAGGGAGGCCTCTTGATTGAAAGCTTTGCCACAATCATTAAAGTCAAGAGTTTTCTCTTTGGTGCAAGTATTAACATGACTCTGAAGAGTTAAGGAACAGCCAAAGTCTTTCCCATATTCTTTGTATTTGCAGCATTTTTCTCCCTTGTGATATCTTGTACCAATAAGGGGACAGTTCTTTCTGAAGAATTTTCTACCGTGATCAGATTCCAAGGGTTTCTCACCAGGGCAAGTTGTTGCCTGTTGAATAAGGAATAAGAGGTGACCTAAGGCCTTTTTACTTTCATTACACTTATGAGAATTCTTTGCCATGTGGAATCTGCCACATATAGTAAATACATTATTATGACTGACATTTTTACCAGTTTTAGGGCATATGTGCAATTTTTGCCCTATTGATTTTTTCAAATTGAACGAGTTGAGTGCTTTCCAAGGCCCCATTGTATTCATACCTATCAAAGGGCATCATCCTAAATACAGAGTTTTTGTAATTGTAAGGCATAAATGAATTATGTATTAAATACTTAATAACAAAAATCACATTTAAGTAAATGCCTATTCTTTGGTATTCTCTGTGAAGTTGCTTACTGTGAGGCAGCAAATGTTGAGGTCAGATTGGAGATTTCTCCGATTTTGTGAGATTCATAAAGTCTTTACTGAGATAGCTTTTTGATGAGTGAATGTCACTTGCCTCAACTGTCTCCCCTTGTGTGGGTGCTGCTGCTGTTTTAATTTATTGAAATTCACAGACTTTTCCTGTTATAAAAAAAACAGATATTATCTCTAGTGAATCTTACCATTTTTATGCCATTGGAAGTCTTTTCCCCAGCAACATCCTGCATAGGAATTACATGTTTTGGTTTAAGTTGAGTAGCCGAGTCTGAAACTGAAGGAGGAAAATTTTTGTAACTACGGGGAAAAAAAAGCAGGGATGAAAGAAATAAGAAGGCAGGCACCCTATAGATATGTTTTCAAATAATAACACTAAATACAGAAAAAATGTGAAAGAGTCATGACCAGGGTCACTATTTTAGGGACTTGTTCCTATGACAGTAACAAGCAATGGAAATGGGAAATATTTTACTCAGAATGGATTCTGGAGACTTGAAACAATAAGAGAGGGTGTTAAAGCAAAGTAGGGTGAACTGAACAAAACATATTCAAGGAAATATGAAATTGAAAGAGGAATTAAAAGTCTTTCTCTGAGACCAAATAAAAAGTGAATGAATGGAGAGATGGTGAAAGAAGGCAAGCTCACATAATGGCCTCAGCCTCTGTTTCCCACACCTACATTCCCAAATATACCACCCCTCACCCACTATGGCTGCTCCACACAATGAGTCCTTTCTGCCTGGTGTTCATGTTCACCTGAACAGGAGATTTGGAGATCTGGCTCAACTTGGAGATTTCTTCTCTCTTCCGTCCTCAGCTCTTCCTGTTCTACTTCAGTTACCAGACTGTGTTTGCAGAGATGATATCCTGCCCATGGGAAAAGACATGTGATTTTGGGGCACGGTGAAGAAGGCAAGAAATGTTTCTATAAACCTGATTTCAACACTCTGGTGTGAAGTAGACAGGCAAGTGCAACTTTAGGAGCAGCAAACAGATTAGATCAAAGATCTTTCACAGGGTCCCAAAACAACCACCCACATTCCATGTCCCACATGGATTGACCCTTGAAATCCAAGGCCAAGATCAGATAGATATACAATGCAAATTACCTAAATCTTGTAATGGGAGAGAAAATAAAATCAGTGCATTTTCATGGGAAGACATGAGACTGCCCCACAAGGGCAGGGGCCATCCATTTTGTGTTCATCACATATTGTTATTCCTTTCAGAGATCCTGGAACACACTATGTGATAAACCATGTACTGCGTGAGAAAATGAAGAAATCAGGCCAACCTTACCCACGGAGGCCACATTCCTCAAGGTCTCCATCATCACATCTCTGTACAGGATTTTCTGAGCAAGGCTCAGCAGTGCCCACTCCTCTGGGGAGAAGTCCACTGCCACTTCCTCAAAGGTCACCAAGTCCTAAAACATCACACACATTCTGGCTCAGCCAAGGACCATCTCTAACACTGAAGTGGGAGAATGGGAGGGTGAGGCTTCCAGGGCTGGGGAAGGAGACTCAGTGCACAGGAAGCTGAGATAGGCTTCAAAGGCCTCTCACTGTCTTCCCCAAGGCTCAGTTCTTAGAACTTTCCTCTTTCACTCTAACCCCCTAGGCCATCTCATTCAGGCTCATGATTTGAGCAGCTTTTCTAACACACAGTTGACCCAACATTTCCACACCTAGGTTCAGGATCCAGTACAGACTGAGTATACAATGGGATGAAAAAGCATATTTAGAAAATAAATAATTTTCCCAGTGAAAAATCTTTCTTTCCTTCATTGCACCCTGCAGAATATGAAACTAATACTCAACCTGGAGGATTGTCTGGAAAAACATATAACTAATATAACAGTAATAGAAGGCTTTCCTAAGGCATTCTCTCTCTCATTCTAAGAAGCCCAGAGAACTGGGGAAGCCTGAGGCTGGCCCAGTAGGGCTGTGAAGCTGTGGGTCATGGGCAACAGATGTGTTCTTTGGGAAGAGCAATGCCTGTTTTTGGAAGGAGAGTAACTTCTCATATACCTGTGACCAAGTTGTCAGCAATTCCGCATCCATTCTGCCTCCTCTGTGACTCCCTGCTGACCAGGCAGACTTCTGAGCATGCAGAGCCAGAGAAAAAGAAAGGAGCCATAAAAGTCTCATCCTGACAGATGTTCAACACCTACAGACCTGTGAGCTTCCTTACATAGCTTCAGAGTAACCACTACACTTGCACATCAACAGTTCACTCAACATTTTATCTCCCTATCCAAGAACAATTAGGAATTGGGAATAGAACGTATGTACTTATTTTTTTCTTTTTAAATTTTTTCTAAACTGAACCACAGGAAACCTAGAGTCAATAACAACTCAAGAGCAATGAGCCCTAAGCCTCTCTAGTGCCAACATGCTCCTAAATGCCATCTGCCTGTGAGAGAAACTAGGACTCATTTGGGAAATAGCTGAGTCCAGTGTAGAACAGTAAATATGTACGATGATCCTGGAACATCTTATACCAGAAAGCAAGGAGCTTATCAAAGGTTGATGGGGTTGTGTCAGAAAGACCTTAAAAGGGCTCCCCTGGCTTTGGATGGAACAATTTAATACAGAATAATGCCTGAAGTCAATTGAAATGTATTAAATGTAAAACAAAATCATGAGTTTGTAATGATACTAAAAAAAAAGACCCTCAATGATTACTAGTGAAGGTGGCCAGGATAGCAAGTCATTATTCTGAAAATTCATAAAAGGAGAAGAATCAAGCATGTCTCACTCCTCCTTTAGGAAGAGTATTTTATCATTATCAAAAGTTGTGATAAGGGAAAATTTTCCTTTATAGAAGAACCATAGAAGCTTTATTAGAAGCTTCATTTATTATGAAGAAAATGCTAGAATTGGAAAGTCACCATTCTGCAGCCAGTAATGAATGAGTGGATCTAGGCGACAACAATCAATGGCTACTAAAATATTAGGTGAGAAGTGAATAGTGATGTTTATTTTCACCTTAAATTTTTTTTATTTTTGACTTTGAGGGGAGGTGGGGGACAGAGAGAAGGCAGGGAGAGAGAGAGAGAGGGAGATTTATTTGTTGTTCCACTTATTTATGCATTCACTGGTTGATTCTTGTATGTGCCTCGATAGGGGACTGACCCTGCAACCTTGCATATTGGGATGACACTAATAAACTGAGCTACCTGGCCAGGGCTGTTTTCAACTTTGAATATGAAAAAATTTCAACTTAAAGAAAAGCTGTAAGAATAGGGAGAATATGATCAGCTTCCACAAACTCTTTACATGACCATTCATAACTCTGTAGGGGCTACTGAGAGGACTCTCCTTAAAAGGAAACTACAGATGTCATGACCCTTTTTACTACATCCTTGAGAATGTCAGAGGAACTTGAGCATTCTTGAACATAACCACAATAATGACGATCAGGAACACTTAACATGGGTTTAATATTATTGTCTACCACACAGCCCTTATGCAGAATTTCATGAACTGGCCCAATAATGTAACTTTATAGCAATCACTTTTTAAATTTCTCACTTAGCTGATGTTCTCAAACTATGTTTCTGGACTCTTCTCTAATCTAGACCAAGCCCTCAGCCTTTAATCATCTTTGAAGATTTGAAAGTCCAGGCCAAATTATTTTATAGACTGTGCCTTAGTTTTGGCTTAGCTGATGTTTTCTTGGATTAGATTTGTCAAGTACATTTTTGCGTGAAGTTTTAGATAACTGGTGTGTATCCTCAGCATATCACTTCATTAAGCATTGATGCTGGTTTGTCTCATTATTGATGGTAACTTCAATCACTTGGTTAAAGTGGTATGAACCAGGATTTTCCATTAAGTTACACTTTTTCCTTTTGTAATGAATAAGGAATCCCATTAATTAGGTGATAATTTGAGACTATATAAATAAGATGAAGAATTTTATAAATGAAAGGTCAAGCTAATACCAGCATCAACTGATAAATCTTAACATGAAAAAAGAGGCATCTGGATATCATGTGAGTTCTGATTTGATTTGAGGAGAAACAGCACCAGCTATTTAAAAAAATCTGACAAATCCCTTAATCTAATTAACTGCTTAGAGAGGAAGGGGAAGAGGAGAGACTCAGACGCATTAAACAACACCTGGGCATACAATTAGCCAACCTAGTATGGGGTAGAAAGAGAATGGGGGAATTATCACTAAGACACATAACTATCCACTGCAACGTGTGTACCTTAAATCTTGATTCCAACAACACCAACTGTAAAAACACATTTTGAAGACATTCGGAGTGAAATGAATACAGAGAGGGCATTATGTGATACTGGTAAGGAGAAAAGCAGCCCCTGACATCCAGTTATGTCTGGGTGTTCTGTTCAATATAAACAATTTCACAACAGCAACAGCAGACAAGGCCACTGTGTGACCATGAAATATTAAGGGAAAAACAAGGCCACTCTGTAATCATGTCTGAACACAGGCAAAACATAAGCATCTAGGCCTCAAAGAGGACTGAAACAGCTGTCCTCCTTTTGTGGGTAACGCAAATGACTGCTGCTTGTTTATCAATGACACCTTTAGCTTCAGTCTAGTTTTCTTCCCTTCTAGGTAAACTTTGCTAAGATACCCAATCATCCAATTACCCTTGCTTTCTGACATCCAACCCAGAACCTTCTCCCAAAACCAACTAACAGGCCCACATCCTTTAATTCTTTCCTCACATGCTTTTCCTGAGATGTCTCACCATTCACCATGGTATATGTTCTGCCTGTTGCAATGAGGAATAAACCCAACTTGTTTAACTATAAGTGTGCCCCTGGTGGTCTTTGGCTAAAGGTCATTGATAATATCAAGAAGTTTTGTTAATTTTGGCAGGGGTGGGGGGCGGCTGTGTGATCACAGTATTGTGATAATGCTAGAAACTTCTGTTAAATGTTTATTTTATTAATGGATTATCTCCCATGTCTCTTCCTCTGTAACAGTTCTCCTTCTTAGCACCAAACTGAGTCATGCTGGTTGTATCCTTGTGATGTCCTCTTCTTTACAGATACAACTCAAATTATGAATGAAGTGATATGATGTCAGATATTTGTTTTAGCATACTCCAGGAAAATAAAACTCAATTATAATAGTAAGCAAGGGGAAGAACAGATGTATTAAGAATGGTGGGATATTGGGTAATCACTGAAGCTGGGTGTTAAGTACAGAGAGGTTTTATCATAGTACTCTCTACTCCTGAGTATGTTTGCAAATCCATAATTACAAGTTTTAGAGAAAGAAAACCTTCCATACAGAAGAAGAGGGCAACAAAATGTACTGTCTAGGCCTTGGCATCAGATATAGTAGAAAAAGAAAATTTAGGTTTCAATCCAAATTCACATTATTCATGTAGTCCAAAGAATCTCAAGAGAATACTTTCAGTTACAGAGGTTCTTAGGTGGCACTGCCCTCAGGCAATTGCTGTGAACAAGTAGACTTATCTCTGGGAAATTTAACTTCAAATCAGGCCTCAAAGAATTCCCACATACAAAGTTTGAAGTAAATTAGGAGGTCACTGTTAATAAAATTATCCAACACAAATATACAATGTACTGTGAATAAGAAGCAACCAAAATACAGGCAGCAGGAAAAAGAAAAACACTGCAGATATTAGACTTTTTAGACATGGAATATAAGAAACTATACTTAACATGCTTAAAGAAATTAAGAGCAACTTGGATGCTCATGGAATAAGACATAATAAAAATGATCAGGCGATTTTGAAAAACAAGCATGATTATTAGAAATTAAAAATATACTCATTAAAGTTAGAAACTCGATTCAAGGATTAACCGTCAGATTAGAATTTGTTAGCACCATTTGATAGGAAATTAACTAAGATTTCCTAGAATTAGTAAAGGACATTAACCTTTGGATCCTAAGATGAATGAAGAAAAAGAAATCCACACCTAGATTCATTCTAGGATTTTCTTTCTTGGTGTTTGATTCCCCCCTCCCCCAACAATCTTAAAAGCAGTCAGGGAAAAGTTACAAGTCACCTAAAAGTAAAAAATGAGTTAGTAGCTCACTTCTCAAGAGCAACACTGGATGTCTGAAGAAAGCAGAACAAAACCTCAGGGTGCTGAGAAAAAAATAACCATCAACCCAGAATTCTAAATCCAGTTTAAGTATCTTCTTCAGGTTTACAAATGAATTTATGAAATGAAACCTGAACCTAATCAAGCTTCTAGACTATTAATTAATACTATTAATAGGAAATACAGAGATTAATTACCAAGTTAAACAACACAAAGAACCAGTAATCAGCCCAATGCAAAATGTAGGGTATTTTAAGGACAATGACTTGGTATCTCCAGTAAGTGAATAGATTTTTTAAGAAGGACATAAAACAGAAATTTATAAGAGATATGTTAAAAACAAAACAAAACAATGTGGGGGACCCTGTTAGGATTCTGATTTGAATAAACTAAGTGTAAAAAGATATAAAAAGATATTCTGGAGACAAGCAGCCCCTAATAACTCACTGCCTGGACAGATTCCTTAAAGAAAAAACAAAACAAAAACAAAATGTAAGAAAATTTTAAATTGTTTATATTTCCCCACAGAGAAAACACCTGGCTCAGTAGTTTTAAAAGTCAGTTCTGCTATTCAAAAAGAATTCTAATCTGATTCAAAATCTCCCAGGGATTAGACACATTTATGAAGATTCTGGCTACTTAAACTAGACTTCAATGTACTCAGTCACATATGTTTGCATATTACTAAATATTAGTAGAGGTAATAATATCTGTGTAATCTATCAGGCAAGAATTAGGTATTTGGCCCTGGCTGGGTAGCTCAGTTGGTTAGAGTATCATCCCAACATTCCAAGTTTGCAGGTTCAATCCCCTGTCATGGCATATACAAGAAGCAACCAATGCCTAGAATGCCAAGAATGCCTAAATAAGCAGAACAACAAATTGATGTTTCTCTCTCTCCCTCTCTCTAAAATCAATGAAAAAAGATTAAGGTATCTGGAAGGTTTTATTTAATTAGCCTTCCTACAAAACATTAGAATGCCCATAATCCCAAACCTCATGTTTGCATTGTGAGTATTCTATTACACCACCATGACAGA